GTAAGGCAGACAGCGGGGACGCTCCGCACGGGTCGCGCCTTCTGGCCCAACACGCGACGGATACTTTTCCGAGTTTCTCCTCCACGCCTCTCTACTACCTTGACGCGCCTTTCGACACAACGGCAGCTTGTCCATGTACAGTAGTTACGACGATGCCTTTACCCCAAATTCGCTGTTTCAAGTAAGACGCCAGACAAGTGCTCACCGAGTCGTTGTTTACCACCCACGCGCCTGCAATGTCTGCCATTGCCATTGCCAACGTTTCGATCCAAGAAGAACTCAAGTGTCATTCTGGCCGACCTGTCTCTTTCTTCATACTAAGCTGCCAGGGTCACCTATTATGTATACCTTATTCGACACCATGATGGGACCCACTTGCAAACCACGGTTCCATTCCTCCATCTCCCATAGTTACGTGACTTCGAATTATGCGATGCTAACAAAAGGAAGATCCTGTTCCTCTGAATCGGACTCTCATATCTACTCGAACAGTTCGGCAATATCTATATCGCACTAAAGGTCGGTGAAACCGGAAGTCCTTGCAATCGGGTCAAGATCACGTCGGTACGCAGCAACCACACACCCAGAAGAGATGAACAGCCAAGTCGACTCCCCACTCGGACAGCTGGTTGAAATGTTCGGAGGACTGACCATGGCAGAGATCGGTTCCCACTCGACTCACACCACCCTTAGTGCACTGGACTCACTAACCTCGACTTTACCAATGGATAACGCGCCATCATCAGTTTCCAACGACTTATCAAGTCGACCCATCTCCTCAACCCAGTCCGAAGAGATGATTTCTCCATCGACTACGAATCCGCACCTCCCTAACGAGCTGATTATCCAAATCCTCCATCACGCTCTTCATCTCCGCCCCGGCTCATCCGGGCCACGACTACCTGTTTGCGCTGATCGATTTCAGAGCCATGTATCCCGCAACGGTCGCTTGGGTAGGCATCTGGTTATATCCAAGTCACTCTATCCCCTCGTTCTAGAGGCTTTCTACCGCGAGAACGAGTTTCGATGCGCCCCAGTCCCGAGAACGCAGTATGTGGAACGCGGGGAAAGTCCTGTCTTGCTGCCCCCGCCACATGCCAGACAGCATATTCGGCGACTGGAGTTGATGATCTATTTGGACTGCTCTAGTCGGGATTTCACCACTTCGTACCAGTGGCACCCACTCGTCAAGCTTTGCTCTGGAAGGGCCAGACTTACTAGAGTCGAATTCTTGCGCTTGGTGATAAAAGAAGCCCCGGGCATACATTGTGGAGAAAAAACTGTTTTGAACCGACTAAGGGATGAGGGTTTTGTAATTAGGGCGAAGAAAGAGGTGGTCATAGAAGGTTGGTGGCAGGCAGAGCCATTTATCAAGGTGGAGGCTGAGGTAGTGAAATGGATATAACAGTTCGTCAGGAGTAGAAGTCTCCCTCACATTATTAGCAGTCATAAGGAACTTCATAAGTCAGCCAGGAGTTCTTTAATGTACTATCAGAGATCAATCATGCACCTAATAATTGAGCCTGAAGACATATGTAGCACTGGAAATCATCGCATTGAAACATGTCACAATAGCCAAGAGGTACTCTCAGTAATCACAAGCAACATTCACGATGCACAAAAGCATGTTGGAGAAGACAATGGATCTTATTCTGCACTACACTATGGCAATGACCAAGCCAGGAGACGACAAACCCCACAAACCACCACAAACAATTCACAAATGTGCCCAGAGTCCACTCACCATGGCGCTCCTCAAGCCGATGATGCGAGCCTCGCCGGTGATGTTGCACTCATCACGAGCGCCGATCATGAACCGGCCCCCGTCGTAGATAGCGACCGCCGCCGCGGAGTCGGGGTTGCTGAAGATTGGAACGATGTGAAGCTGGATCGTCCTCAGATCCTGGAAGGTCATCAGATCAGAGAGCGTCCGCAAGGTGTGGGCACTACGGCAGTGCTTGAAGAGGTCGGCCGTGTTGCGGAAGTATATCCTGTTGTCGAGGATGCGGTCAGGAAGCACAGTCGGCTCTCCTGCGTAGCTGTCGGTCAGGACAAGCTGCACCCGGATGTGGCGGAGGAAGCGGAGGGGGTGGATAGGGGGCATGAGTGGCGTGCGGTGTGATGTCGTCGAGATGAAGTCGAAATAGTTTTCCTCGTAGAAAATTTGAAGAGCGACCACGTGGAATTGACGAGAGACGACGGAGATATTGTGCAGCATGCACTTGTTGAGCATAGCGAAGCGTGTGGCGTTGATTGGCCTGCCCCGAGGCGAGACCGAGGAGAAGATGAGGATATTCATGAGAATCATCTTGAGGATCTCGTTGGGGAGAACAACGCTCGGACGAGGCGCAGGCGTCACCATTGTGATGGTGTTTCGAGAAGACATCGTGCTTGTAGCCGATGTGAGTGGAGGTGATGAGGAAGCGTGTTGTGCTTTGAGGTGTGTGAGAAGGTTTGAAAGTGCTCGGAAAAAGAAGGTTGAAGGCGACTTTGTACTGGAGAAGTGAGGAACTTTCAGGCTGAGGGAACTGAAGGGAGGCAGGGGGACGCCAGTTTATATAGACAGAGGGAGACCCTCTAGCGTCTCCTCTAGAAGAACGGTACGCCGCTGAAGAAGAGCGAGGAAGTCTGAAGCTTCCTAATTTTCCAGAATGGAAGCATGAAGTCTGCGATGAAACCGGGCCCTTGCCCTATCATATGGCCTCTGATTCGTTCTGGGGCTGTCCATTCTATGTCCTTCACCGCACTAGTAGCCTTCATATCTGACTAGACGTCTTCTTTAGGCTCCGATTGGCGGCAGAAAGGCTACCGGAGACCTTCTGGCAGTATGAATGCTGCCTTGGCAGTGAATCAATCACTAGTGATGCTTCTTTCAGCGACGATGGAAGAAGAATGAATCGAGTATGTCCAGGACTAGATCTAAAAGGGGTAGGTGGCTTCCTTGGATATCCGTACGAGTCCGGCGAATTAAGACACTTATACGACGGCGTGGCTCTGTTGGTACCAAGTGAAAGGGTGAGGGCTACGATGGTGGGAGGCCGAAGCAATCGCTGAGGTAGAGGAGCCTTCCAAAGATTGGGAAAATGACTTCCAGGAGGCTGCACGTGTGGATAAAGCTGTGCCATCCTGCAAGAAGAGATCAAGTAGTGTCTGACACCTTCAGTCTTGCTTTACTTGCGGTGGAAGCACCATGAAGCTGGCTGGAGTCAGCTATGGCGTTCGTTTGCCAGGTTTTCCTTTGCGTTGCACAGCTGGCTGCGTCCGCGGGGAAGCTGTTACCAAACACCGACCACCAATATCGACACCGAAATTTTGGAGCACCAGCTGCACCCCCAGTTGATGAAGCGACAGCACAGGAAGTGAGCTGTACCCATCGCATACTTCTCACGAGACGAACCAGACCTTTTGCCCGCAGTCGTTGCCGATGCAAGCTGCCGCGCCTGCTCCTCTCGAACCCCGACGACCCTCCCCCCTCTTCTCCGCAACGGCGGCGACAACGAGTTGAAGGAACTTGGACGAGATGACAACAAGAATAATGCCCGAACAACTGCACTGTGCAAGATAGGCCAGCTGAGGAGACAAGAGTGGTGACTCCGGGGCAAGAAAACTCTTCAGCTTCGACGCGGGAGGGTGTCGCAACAAGCCAACGAGAAGGAACATGAAAAGCGGCTGTGGAAGACAGCGCGATGGCAGCATGAAGACGCCACTTCAATGCTCATCGAAAAGAGATCCAGAGAGCAGGCCGGGCACAGGCGATACCAGGACACCATGTAGGCAAACCTCGGCGGAGAAGAGCCATGTGAACCTGGAGATACATTAGTCGGTGGTCACAGAGGACGGAATTTGGCAAATCAGGTTAGAATCATGGCAATAGTATCAGAGACAACAGGTCGCAGTCGCCACGCTGCGCGGCAGGACACACATCAGCGGACGCGAAAGTCGAGGTCCAGGACTAATGGGTGCATGGGCGCATGGCACGCATACGAACAAGCTCGTGGTCTGCGAACCGTACCTCGAACGTACCCCAGGATATACACTGCTACATCGCTCGTAGAGCGCATAACCTTAGGGTAAGTTTCGGTATCAGGATCGCGACACGTTGAGAACGAGCTTATTCGTACTGTGGGGTGTCGCAATACCGTGAGAGGGACCTGTAAACATATTAGTTGACGTCAATGAGTGCAAATTTCACAGGTCAATAGCAAGGCAATGAGGCAAGGTGTTGGTGTAGGAAAGATGGAGGTCCTAGGCAGCTGGGCAAGATTGAACTTCCGCCTTGGTCTGTGCACGCTAGCATGGTCATCTCCGTCGCCGGCCATGATCGCTCCCAGTCATCTCCTACAACCTTGGCAATTACACACCGCTTCCCATGCGCGAAATCGACAATACATCGTGATATGCTATGACCAAGAGGTCCCATGCCAACATAGCCTCCTCGCAAGCAGAACCTCCAGAGCGGCAGACGTCCTACGATGGGGAGCGTAGCGGAAGCCACGAGGACGGGGATGGCTCGTCGCTGAAGAAACCGCGATCGTTCATGGCGACCTTGGTATGTGGTCAAGAAATGACATGCACTGCTCTGCTGACTAGAGAAGGCTTGCGACATCTGCAGATCGAGGAAGACGCGCTGTGATGAAGATCGGCCAAGATGCGGCTACTGTAGGAACATGAACTTGGAGTGCACGTATCAGGCACCACGCAGTACGAAGAAAGACCAGTCATTGACTTTGGCAATTAATGCAATTCGAAGACTGGAAGCAAAGATCGAAGACCTGACAACGGCGATCAATACGCCCAAGCCGTCGTCTACATTACCACTTTCGCCGGCAGGGCCCATCAACGACCATCAGTCACCCCACACCATCTTCTCACAACCAAGTCCAGGATACCACGTCTCGGCGATGCCCTCTCACCACTCCCATAATGGCCGGCTAAGCATACACGACTTAGCTATGTCTCCACAAGTCGTGGGATCTCCCGCCAAAAGTCCCTTCCCCGTGATGGAAGTTCAAGGCGCAGTAAATCTTTCCTTCAGTCAACATCGTGTCGCACTCTGGCCGGCCATACAGCAAATACTCCCTAACGGTTTCGTCACTGTTCGAGCAGAGCTTCCGGAGGACTATATAGTCGATATTGAAAATAGGCGAGCGCACTTGCCGATACACATCGATCGTCCCTACGGCACTGTCCCTGAGAGCTGGCTGATGAGCCTCCCGCAATCGGCAGTCAAAGGCCTTGCAGACGCCTATTTTGCCGTCTTCCACCGTAACACGCCGATTCTTGACAAGTATCATTTCTTCTCAAGCACACTAGGCACAGCTATGGAGAACGAGTTCGGGTACGACGTGGAGTCTGCGCTGGTACTCAACGTGCTTGCCTTAGGTTGCTTAGCTGTCAAGGCTCACGAGGAAGGCGACTTTGCTCTTCCCTCGCGCCACTCTCCAGCCAGACGTGGCTTCGTGCACCCGGATTGGTACGAACTCGTTGCAGATGATCCACCGGGGCTCAAATTCTTCAACGAAGCAAGGCATCGCTTCGGCTTCCTCATGTGCGATAACGACGTTCAAGCAGGTCAGTTTTACATGCTTTCGACTCTGTATTATGCTCAGATTCTCCGGCCTCTCGATTCTTGGACCACCGTGAACAGGGCGGCCCTCTGTTGCGCTAGCATTCTCACCCGCACGGGAGCGATTGACTATGACACATGGGAGGGCGATATGTTATCACGACTGTTTTGGTGTACTTTGATGTACGAAACAGTCATCACGCAGGAACTGGACCTACTTCCGCATAGCGGCCTGTTAGACTACGAGCCAGATACGCCTCTACCGAAGTTTACCCAATGCCCACGGCCAAAGACGTCCATATCGGGATTGCTTACCGATGAAGAGGACTCCTTCTTCAACTTCCACTTCCTCGCTCAAGCGGCCCATCGCATCATCCTGACACGCGTGAAGCAGAGCCTGTATACCTTTGCGGAGAAAGACGGCTACCCCAGCGCCAGTTTGACAGCCGAAATGCATCACCAACTAGAGCAGTGGCGCGCAAACCTCCCACCGTCGCTCCAATTCTCCGACACCGACAACGCAAGTGACTCGCCCAGCCCTGCACACGTCATCGCGAAGGCCATGCTGCGAAGTCGCTACCTCGTCGCTAAGTTCCACATCGGCCGTCCGTTCCTCTACAAAGCGCTGCATGCACCAGCGTACACCAGTGATGCAGAGTACAACAAGGTGCGCGAGGGTCTGCGCGGTGGGATGTACTGGCCAACTACCATGGGTCTTTGCACGCAAATGTTGTCAGCTCTACCAATCAAGTTTGGGTGGTGTTGTCAGTGCTTTGGACAGGTGCTATTGTTTCACGCCGTAGCGCAGTCGCCAGACCCAAGATTACGAGAAACGCTGCCGGAAGGATGGCGCGAGTGGGTAGGTATCATGATGAGCCTGATCGAGAGTTGTGCGAGAAGCAGTCCTGGTATTGCAAAGGACTACGAGCTATTGCGCTTGTTGGACGCCTAGCTCCAGAAGTGTAGTCTGGACACGCTTGCGAAACTCTACAGATTGCTGCTGTAACGTCAGTGTAGTCCGTAGGTATACAGCCAACATGATTAAATTCATAACGAGTTCGCGTGAGACCCTGCGTCACGCTGCCAGATGTAACACGGTACCACAGATACTCGAGCCAGGCTTTTGTCAGCCGTCGTCGTCGCATTTGGGCACTCAACGTACGACTAATTCTGCGTTTCAGCAAAAGTCAATTGCGAGAAGGTCGAGACGAAGGAAGACACGATGTGCCTTGTTTGCGGTTTCTAGGATGCTCATGTCTTATGCTCCGACTGATGCTGATGTTTCAGCACCGCCGCACCCGCGTCGATCCTGCCATCTACAGCCGAGTACGAGAGGCTTGCGTGTACAAAGTGGCTACTAAGCTGACTATCGTAAAGGCGCATGCGGCACCGGCTCGTTGGTCTAACCCAGTGCAAGTCACATTGCGCACAAGAACCAGGTTGTGAATACGCAACATGCCCATGTTTGCATCTCGAATGCCCTCATCGCAGTCCCACAGGCGTCGACGGGGAGCATAGCACAGCCACAGGGCGCGCATCCCAGATCTCGGCGTTTCAGCCTTCCAGCCCTCTCCCGGCGCGGCAGCTAAGCCCAATCAGACGGTAGTGGCCCCTGCATTGCTTAGGGATGGAAGCAAGGATCTACCGACTGACACAACTGCCACTAAACTGGGGGCGTGTCGGCCGCCTCCTTTGAGGCAGAGGGACACTTTGCTTGTCATCCTGCTTTTCTTACCACTCCTTTTTGGCACCCGGCGCAACGCTTCTCCGGTATCCGCATACCTTGTCATCTTTTGCGTACACCACCTTCTTTCCGCGGTGTCCACTACGCGACGCACGCTTCATTGTTGAGATTAGGCATCTTTGGGAAATTATTGGATTGGACTGGACCAACTGGATCTGGATGCAAAAGAGCGAGGGCCTGATACCCGAATTCCACGCGCAGGCGAACTGGATCGCATCCTAGGCCTCTGAACCCCAGAGGGCGAACCGCGACGATGGCCGACTACTCATACCAATCGCTGGCCAACATGGGACCACAAGGGAGATGGCGGCGTGTGCTGTTGATTGCCATAATACCCATGGCATTGGCTTTGATTTACTTCAGCTCTCCGTCATACGTGCCGAGCAGTCTTCGGGCACAGTACGTGTCGCGATCCTTGATCATTTGCAACAACTGACGACGAGGCGCAGATTCCCGCATACGCAAAACATTTCCCTCCCCAAAGACGACGTCTCCATGGCGACGATAATAAAAGCACTCTACGGCCCGATATTACATCCGATCGATGCCGCCAACTTTACCGACGAGGACGGAGATATATACAGACTAGCAGGGGAACCAAAGTTCAAGAGCAAGTTGGGCAAGAAGGTGCTCATACTGGATATCGACAGTCGGCCGTTGACGGAGAAGGGCCAGCTCATGGACCCGCAATTGAAGTGGAAGGGCATGCGCTCGTTGAGTGCGGGCATGCTCGGGCATTACATGTTTGGTACGTTTTCGACCATACAGGAGGAGACATCCAGGGCCGTTCGGCACGTGGAGTGGACAGCGAGCGACTCGGCTAACTTCTGACAGCGCAAATACACGGCTACGATTACAAGTTCATCCGCGCACCCGATTACGCCGACCGGTGGGGCACTTGGGTCAAGGTTCCCATGATGAAGGAGGCGCTCAAGACCCACGAGTACATCGTCTTCATGGACTCCGATGTCATGTTCCACTACCCACATCTGCCTCTCGAATGGCTGCTCAACTACTGGAACATGACCGACGATACTCTCGCCATGATGTCCATTGACCCGAACGAGCCGCAAAACTACGATGCGAAGGGCAACCGATACTTGAACACAGGTTTCGTGATCGCACGACAGAGCAAGAGGACACAAGAGATGTACAAGGCTTGGGCGGAATGTCCTTCTGAGACCAAGTACAAGGGCTGCGCGCACTGGAAGACCGACTGGGCACACGAACAAGCTGCTTTCGGAAATTACCTGCGCTACGACTATGACCGGCCGGACGACATTCGCGTTCTCCCCTGCGTCGAAGCCAACGGTGCACCCGAGGCTGCGAACCGAGGCGGCTGCAAGGGCGTCTTTGTACGACATTTCTGGGTTGACAAGGGCCTGGTGGCTAAGAACCTGGCGGACAGCGTCATGCAGTACTTCCTACCACGATTGCACGAGGCGTACCTGGGCTCAGCGAGCGAGCACATTGTCGACGCAAAGGGCTTCAAGCTCGAGGGCGCGGAGCTCATCGAGATGACCGAAGAAGAGAAGGCAGCGGCCAAGAAAGGACAGGGCAAAAACCAGAAAGATGAAGGGTGGTAGGACGACTCTGAACTTCGCAACGGCCTTTGACCCTCACCTCGCGCTCGCGCATTCCATTTTAGTTCACCAATCTTGCGCCATCTACCGCATGACGTTTATATAACCACCATATACGCCGCTGCTATTCCATGGCAGTACTGTTCTGTCGGCGTCTACAGGCGTCCCATGTCTTATCGTTACGTCTTTGCACAGCGATCTTTCAAGCATGTTACATCATTATATTAGACTTGGGTGGGACGGGCATCAAAGACGGCTTTCCTTGATCATGTATGAGAATTGTTAGGCAAGAATAGCCACTTGGAATACCACCTCTTTTCACGTTGTCGATTGCGTTGAGCAAATACGTTGGTGATGCACAGGTACGTCAACGTCTTTTGTTTACTGATCTGTATCGCAGATGTCGTGTGCCGACCGGGTGCCTCCTTCCTCCTCGGTGCGATGACGCGCCCAATAACCCCGCGAACATCCATGGATGACGACGACCGACCGATGCCCATGAGCGTCATGAACGCCTGGCAAGAACTACCAGCCTCGCGCAATACGCCACTGCACGCGCCTTCTGCTATCGCGATGCAGTGTCGCAAACGATGTGCAGTCGCATTGGTGCACTGCAGCAGCCGACGTGAGGGGCGACGACATGGATGCATTCCATCTAGTCACGCTTGCCAGATCTCGTTCAGTCCGCAAGAACGGGTACTTTCCTCTGCACTTCACTTGGATGTCCCGTCGATGCAGACGACATGAAGCATTCTATCGGCAGAGGATTGTTTGCAAGAAACAAAAGTTCCGGACACCTTGACAGCGGGCATGAGCGGTCTGCTACCAGCTCCTCTCGTTCGGAGTCTGAATCATTGATCCCTCTTACAACCAAACCCGAGCCTCAAGCGATACCACAGAGCCCGTTACCCCATATTCTCGACCAGCCGGTTCAGAATCTATCGCATTCGACGACCATAATATCACCACAGTTTCAAGGACCACGCATTGAGAAACCAGATCTCTGGCTCCTGGCCCTTGAACGCTCCGAGCTTAGTAATGAGCAGTCGTAGGTGCTCCTCGGTCCGCCTACCGGAACTGAGACCGCGCCATGGTCTCCAGTCCAGTTCGTGCAGGAAGTCAAAGATGTCACTCGCGACCGGTTCGTCGAGTGCGAAAAGAGCGGATGGTTCGCCAAAGCTGGAGGATGCAAAGCCGTCATCAAGCAACGGGCCGGGACAGTACTCATGGCCGTACTCGAGCTCAAAGATTTCGTTAGCGAAGGACTAAAGTACGATGTCACCGGATACGGTGCGACAGCATGGTCTATCATCACCTTTGGCCTACGGGTAAGTTTCGGGACTGGAATTAAATGCTCGTGATATTGACAATGCGCATTAGCTTGTGCAGGCCGATCTCGACAGGACACAATCCATATTCGAAGCTTCCGCTTTCCTGGCGGATCTCCTTGCACGCTACGCTAGTATCCTCCTGTCCAGCAAAACCAGCCAGCAACCCTTTCCAGAAACTGAATAGCAATGTCTATATGGCCGCTCTTATTGTTGACCCACGCCACCAATCTGCTGAAACACACACCATTCCAAGTTCTTCATACCTCCACCACCTTTCTTCTGGTATTCAGTTTAAAGTCTGAGCTTGACCATCTTGTGAATGGCGCCATGCATCGGGTCACTGGACCTGATCTCCGCGCTTGATTCATTCTCGAGCTTCAAAAACTTTGGCTGCAGCACAACAGTTGCCTTGTTTGGCAGGTCAAGTAGTGCTCGTCGGTACTCATCGCTGTCACTGTTGATTTGTAAATGCAAGTGCAGAGAAGTGCTCAGTCGCACCGTCAATTCGGTGAGCTTGGGGAATCGAGTTTGCCAATCCTGCCCTCCTGCCTGCTGTGGCGCGTTGGGAGTAGCAGCTTTGTGGACAGGTCGGGGACGGAGAAGCACCAGCCAATCGTTCTCAAACGACGGCTCCAGGCACTGTGCCGCGTCGTCAATGCGATTGTACAACTCCAGCTGTATCACCAGTTTGCGAACGTGACTACCGAACACAAACGGAGGGAAACGCCACTTGTCGTCGGCGCCCGGGGTAACGTGCCCCCAAGACACGCCAGAGCGCCGAACGACAAAGGTGTTGCCACTGTAGTACACTTGTGCGGCAAGGGCATGCATGCGCTTGTTGACGAGTAGCAAAGTTGGTAAGTTTAAACCTTCCTCGATGGCTTTGTGGTTCCTTGCCATGATGAATTTGTTGGTGCTGAGGGCGTACGTGAGGATTTGGACCTTGAGCTCATCGGGAAGGGCGTCGAAGCCGACGCGAGTGCCGCCGGAGGGTATGTTCTGAGGCATTGTTAGCTTTGAAAGAGGGAGTTAGACAGACGAGGTAGCCGTAAGGTTCGGCGTCCGGTGTATTGTAGCAGAGAGAGGAGGAGCTGGCGATATGAGTTGTTGACGTGCCAACTAGTGCGCGCGCCATGACCGCGCACGCGACAGGTGAGAGTCAAAAGCTACGGTGACCAGGGATTAGGCAGCAACCTCTGCGTTTGCTCTACATGCTCAGCTCGCAAGATGACGGCACCCTTGATGAGAAAAGCGGTGTCAGAGCGGGATGGGTGTGGCGATAGACTTGGTTCACCTCTCTTTTTGCCTGTTCGTATCACTCCAGACTTGGACTTAGTACGGACTAGAGCGATTAGCATCCCATTCATCACTCTTGAAGCGCCAGCTATGTCTCCTAAAATAACAATATTACCTTCTGCTCAGGACATATGGCTACTTAAGACCTCATGCGTCTTCGTTGACGTTGCCAGTAGTTGCCAGCAGCTTCCAGTGTTCAATGATATCGGCTTGCTTATTGCAATAGACACGCGCAATGTCATTGTAGCATTCCATCGTCAAGTCAAGTTCCACCTCCTTTGCCTTGAACAACGTCTTTGTGTCAGCTAAGCACGCTCTCGTTTCCTCTATCAATTCAGGCGACATACAACAGTCTTCATCGCCTTCTGTTAGATTGTTCTCATCAAAGAAGTGGAAGCTGAGCTTCAGAGTATGCAGGTTCGTGAATCCAGTTTGCCAGGCATTGTCGTGGGGTGCCGTCATGAGCCATCTCGATCTCACGATTGGTAAAGGCAGGCCCAGTTCGTTCGATTGTAATAAGGGCCTTGTTGCCTGAAGCATAAAGGCCAAAGGTTGCGAATTGCACAGTAGTATATGTTCCAGTCGTGAAACATCCATGGTGTAAGCCTTAACGGTAACGCGTAAGTGCCGAATCATGCTTGCTATTTCTGCAGGAGGGTAACGAAAGGTGACTCGTTGAGACAAATGAGACGGTTTCTCCTCGATACAGATTTCGAAGACATTGTGGTTGTAGTAAGCGGTTCGGGCCAGCCGATACAGTTCCTTGTTCCGCACCTCATAGATAGGTTCCGTATGTTTGCGGAAGATGACTGTATAGTTACTGTCTGGCACGGGGCTTTCAGGAATGTCACCAACGATAAAGCATAAGACATAAATTTTCAGCTCCTCGGGAAGGTGTGCCCATTGCCTGAGCGATGGAGACACTGTTGCTGTTGTGATTTCGTCTTGATCTTGCTGGGTCATTGTCGGCATATGACAACTTTGGATCTGGTTGTGACTCAAGGTCAATGAGCATATCTTATACCATAGCTAGAAGTTTGCTCCTGTATGTCAGCATGGCATATAATCTGCGGAATGACTGCGACCAGTCCGCTCAGACTTCATGCTCAATGTCAGCGACCCTTGGCACCCTATGTAACCGCAAGCCACAGAAGCTGGCGACAAGCTCGATCTATGCCTGGTCAGTGCACGTTACGAGACGGAGGTTGACTGCTGTCTTACACATTGCTGGATTGTCTCCACGTCCTCCTTACTGACGCCGATGCGCCTTGTCCCGCGCAAATGCCAGGCTGTCTCTCTCGGCAGATTTTGTATCATGATGCCGCTGAGTACGGTGAGCTCGGTCTCGACGTCGTTGAGGATGCTGTGATCGGATAGATAGAGGCCGTAGGTGATTTGCTTGCTCGTCCAATCTATACTGCATTAGCTCAGGGTCAGGAAGCGGCCAGGGGCTACATGCCGAAATCCTTTTGTGATGCCAACACGTTGTCGATGCCCTCCTGGTTGTGCTGGTACAAGCGACCTTGCCATGCTGCACCACGTTTTGAGTTGGCTTCGTCACACTGCCATCCCTCTCTGCTTGTTGTCAGCTTCCGCAATCGCCTGCTGACGACGCACGACTTCATACCTAGAGAATGTATAATCCTTGTCCTCTGGCCTCGTGATGGCATCGATGTCAAAGATGGCTTCCAACGGCTTGCACACGCCCACAATGACGATGAGCTTGAAGAGTGTCTCTCGTATCCTCCGCATCAACGCCTGCCGCTGTTCGGGTGTTTGGCATTCGGGTCGCTTGATGAGTTCCTTGTAGAGCAGAGGCGCGAAGCCCGGCTGCCCGCCGCCTACCATCGCCGCGAGCTACAATGGCTTAGTCGTTGCTCTCATCTGTGTATGCAAGACATGCCATACCAGAAGAACATACCACTTGTCATCTCCAAGTGACTGCGATGGAAACTTCTCCTCTATAGCCTTGAACAAGGCAAGAGCTTCGTCATCGGTTGGGTCGCGGGGTATCGGGATAGTACTGGTTGACATGGTGTTGATTGTGCGCTCAGGGAGGAAGTCGAAGCAGCAGAAGGATATTGCGCCTTGCGGGATGTTTGCTGACTGTCGTCATTGGGTGTTCCGATAGTCGGGACGGACAAGTAGGACCGATCGCGACTGCGACGCGTCTTCGGAGGGGCGCGTCGCGCTAAAGCGGGGTAGACCTCCACCCATCACCACGCCCCATGGAGAAAGGCGTCTTTCCCCGGAGGGCAGCTTGTTCTCTCGAACCACCCACATACACGCGAAAACAAGGCTGGAATATGTGAAAACCAGAGTGGGTGGTATGCTAATTTTGGATCAAACATGGATACAAGCGCTTCGTGCTATCACCTTCTCAACAACAAGCCCAAGACTGTCATCATCACAGGCGGCGCAAACGGCATCGGCGCCAAAACAGCCCGTACCTATCATGGCCATGGCTGCAATGTCATCATAGCTGATCTTCCTTCCTCCAGTGACGCTGCCAATGCCCTCATCGCATCTCTCACAGAGCCATCACGGGCCCGGTATCACCCCACCAATGTCACTAGTTGGCACGATATACAAGCTCTCTTTCGAGAGACGAAAAAGACGTTCGGTCAAATCGATATCGTCGTTGCGAATGCAGGGACGATGGAGAGTAAGGGGTTCTTTGACTTCGAAGAGAACGAACATGGGGAATTGATGGAGGCGACTGAAGCTGGTAGGGTCATCGACATTAATCTGAAGGGCACTATGAACAGTGAGCTGCGTTGACTCACTAGTACTCTCCTGGTCTATCTCTGACATCATGTAGCTGTCAGGATGGCCATGTACTCCATGAAGTCAAATCCACCGGACTTGGACGGTGTACGAGGCTCTATTGTACTCATCGCCTCAACGTCCGGATACTTTGGCGGGACTGGAGTAGTTTCATACATTTCTTCTAAGCATGGCGTAGTGGGCTTATCACGAGCATCACAGTCCGTTGCCCGACAGCTAGGCGTCCGAGTCAATGTCGTTGCACCCTTCTTTACCCCTACGCATATTACCTCGGGTTACTCAGAGAAGTGGAAAGAGAGTGGTCTACCTGCGAACACAACCGAGGACGTCGCTAATGCCATCGTGTCTACAAGCGTGGATCCTGCAAGACAGGGTCATAGTATGATGGTGAGTTAAGATGACTCGACATGTAGCGAAGAAGTAGTGCTGATCCAGTCACAGGTTGCAGGCAGCTTGGTCAGAGAGATCGAAGAGCCAAGAACTACATCAACGAAAGATTGGTTAGGAAAAGAGATTTCTGACATTATGGCGAGAGGCGGCAAGTTTTTCAATGATCTGGGCGGTTACACACTGCCCCAGGCACGATCTTGAGAGCTCTTGCGGGCTTGTTCCACAAGCCAGTGTCCTACTTGATTGTCATTCGTAAAACGTGAGTGTACTTGAACAACTCGCAAGCCGGCTCATAAGGCCACACCGCGTCTTCGTCACCTTTCAGTATGGAGCCATCTTTGTTCCTATAGCAGCTATACCTCTCCGAAATATCCTCGGTTGTTCTTCCCTCGTTTAGGCCGATCTTGCTCAGTAGTCTGTTTGCGAATGCACCTAGTATGCTTGCTCGACCCGACAAATCTCTCCAGCTATCTCTGTAGCCTACGTTATCAGCATATGCGCAAGATACTGAGATGGTCTTGAAAGGGAATACGATAGACTCCATATTCTTTAAGACCACTGCGACATGCGGTACTAGAGGCTCGCTGGACCGACGTGTTAGGAGTGTAGGCTCCGTCAAGATGACTTTCATCCTTGCGGCCGTAAGTCTGATATCGATATCGACGAGCTTCTTGAACCCAAGCCTCCCCATCGCTAGCTGGTAGAAATCGTATACCATCCTCAGTCATGTGTATGCGCACGCATAGTCGCGGAATTAGCGCGTTTATCCACCCCGGAGGGTATGGTATGCCACCACGAGGAGAGGTCGTTATCAGGATCTTATTCTGTTTCAACAACACGTCGTAAACCAGATACTTCAGTTTTGGAATGGCCATCAAGAGTGGCAAGACTTGTTTCGCGAAATCGAAGGTATGAAGCTGGTGTCCCTCGAAATCCGGGCGAACAAAGAACTTGTTGTAAGGTAAATATTCGGACAGTACCATCAACTTGATCTCGTCCGGTAGAGCGAGGAGAGGGGGGCGTGAAGTGGTAGTTTTGGGCATTGCCTCGACCGGTAATGTGACGAGACTGGAGCACCGAATCTGCTGGGCTTTGATGTCTGCTTGCTCCATAGTATCGTCGTTTTGCTTATCCTTGTTCAGGAACTTGAGATTAGAGTTGATAGTTGGGTTGGTCATTTGTGAAGAAAACAAGCAACGCAATGGTGACCAGTCTCATACTAAGGGTGGTTGAGGAGCGTAAGAGTTGCAGTAATACTGAGGAGTACATTGACGGATACATTTGGCTGGTCGTAACTGCACGGTTGTTTAGGCTCCCGTATTGGCAACTACGTACTGGCTTATAGCACCTAAACAAGGACTAAGAAGGCACTGAGGCAGACGTTCATCCAAAGCGGTCCTAGCGTGGGAGTGAATGCGATGCGCGGCCAATACCGCTAGACCGTTGCTGCGAATGTCCATCACCCGTGAGGGTGCGATAATTTTACGGACGTGTGGTCGCCTTTGATGGTATCGGTTATGTCGCGGGATTTGCGCGTTGAATGACCGATGCTATTGGGTGATGTGTAGGAGTAATAGACTTCACGAGGCGATCACAGGGTTCATTTTCGTCTTAGTAATCCTCGAGCGAGCTTTGGCCCGGTGACGTTTTCTACGACCCTCGGCAACACCACCTTCTACAATCTGTCCAAAGACCAATTGAAGCCTCACGACAGACTCTCTGCACCATGGCGTCCTCAAGACTAGTTGCTCGCTCGTCGCGCGCTCTCTTCTCCCTCCCGCGCACCCAATGCCGCACATTCAGCATCTCCACCATCCGTAGCAATGAGTTTGAAGCTCTCAACAAGCGCACAAACGACACCTCCGAGACGTACCGCAAATACCAGATCGAGAGACCTCTGAACCCTCACCTGACCAACACCACATCTACCATTGCCAATGAGATGCCTTCGATTGGCAATGACGCAGCCCCGCCCGAGCTGATCACCAACGCCGACGCCAAATTCACACCCAAGGATTCTGTGCCCGAGAACACTGAGCGCATGACAGGCGGTACACAGGGCAGCAAGGACCAGGACGTCAGCGGAGCGAACAGCGAACTGGGTGTTGGCGAGATGGAGGGCGCCAAGTTCAAGGTCGAACCTATCCGCAGGACTGGCGAGGACGCGAACACCATGCGTGCGAGGTTATTATGTCCGTTCATACACTGCCCGTTCCATATTCCCCATGAATTACACGATTTGGTGACCGCGACGAAACATGACTAACGCACAATCAGATCAGAGCCGCAAGAGGGGAACCCTAGAAAGTGATCTCCTCCTCAGCACCTTCGCCGATGCCCACCTAAGCACCATGTCTCCCTCCCTGATGCAGCAATACGACACCTTCCTCGACGAGAACGACTGGGATATCTACTACTGGGCGACTCAAGAACCCACACCTACGTCTCACGAGACAGCTGAGGGTGGTGGCGCTGCTATGTCCAACCCCAATGCACAGGGCATGGACGCGACGGCACAGACGAAGCTGCCCGAGAAGGACGAGCGCAAGAGACAACCTGGAGAGGGCGAGTGGGCGCAGACTGTGGGCACTTTCAAGCCCGCGTACAGGCCTGTGCCTAGCAGGTGGAAGGGCAGCGAGATCCTCAGCCTGCTCCGGAAGCACGTCAACGAGCGCAAAGCGGGAGGCGTCATCGAAGGCGAAGGCACCACAAAACAGGAAGGAAAGGGTCTCGGCATGATGCCTGAGATCAAGAACTTCGACCAGTAAAGCAGAAATCGCGCCTTTGTCACCATATCCTGTAGGTTTGCTGTATAAATAATGCCCACAACTGCCCCGATGCTTTCTCTCCTGCACGTCTTCGGTCTGTTTCACTCACAGACCATTTGCGCACTTCTTCCAGGATCCTTGTCACAGTCGTGCCACTTTCAATATGAACAAACTCACCCAGACAAAACACCATTCCCAAAACCTTTGCCCAACACTACGAGCCTAGCAAGGCATTCATAAGCTATTTGTTCCGGAACTCGTTCCTCCGCCCGCTCCCACGTGTTCCGCGGCATCCTAGGCTAGATTTCCTCCGGGGCTTTTGTCATTACCCCGGCCAACTTCCCCACACGGCAAAGCTCGCTTCGGCAGTCCATATGTTTCGAAACTGCGCTTTGTATAGTGGCACCGGGTGTTATTGGAGGAAGTACTATTGTTCATGCATTTTGTTTAGTGTTCTGGTGTCACGTTCAGATGCGTGCAGCTAACGGTGCAAATTGGAGGAGGGGATGCGTTGCCACATGTAGAGGTTTGTCCGTACTTCTAAAACGCCGTTGATCAGTAACAGGTTACGGGATGTTCTCTGGTATATAGCTGCTGTATCCTTGGAAAGGTAAGGGGCATCTATCTCAGTATCGATCACTCTCACGATGCGGTTCACAGCCCTCCTCCTCCTCGCCAGCACGGCACTCGCAGCGCTCCCCTACAAAGGCGCAGACTGGTCCTCCCTCCTGATCGAAGAAGCGGCCGGTAAAAAGTACAAGAACGCCGCTGGTACCGTCCAGCCCCTCGAGACCATCCTAAAGAACAGCGGCGTAAACACCGTGCGCCAACGAATCTGGGTGAACCCATCCGACGGAAACTACAACCTCGACTACAACATTAAGCTCGCGAAGCGCGCCAAAGCAGCCGGCCTAGGCATCTACCTCGACTTCCACTACAGCGACAACTGGGTAAGTTCTGACTGTACGAAGTGCATGTGAAACAAATACTGACTTCGTGCCTCTACCTCTGCAGGCGGACCCAGGCAAACAAGTCGTGCCCGCAGCGTGGAAATCGCTAAACCGCGAAGCCCTCATCAAGCAAGTCTACGACTACACGAAGAACGTGCTCAACACCTTCGCTACCAACGGCATCGCCCTCAACCTCGTCAGTATTGGCAATGAAATCACACCCGGACTCCTTTTTCCCATCGGCCAGCTCTCCGGCACCGATGGACCGAAGAATGTCGCTGCCCTGCTCAAATCCGCATCCAAAGCCATCAAGGAATCGTCCATGAGCCCCAAGCCCAAGATCATGATTCATCTGGACAATGGCTGGAAATGGGATACGCAGCAGTGGTGGTACGACACCGTGTTGGGCTCGGGCGGCGGGCTATCGGCTGCAGACTACGATGTTCAGGGCGTGTCTTACTATCCGTTTTACAACAGCGCTGCTACGCTGTCTGCGCTCAGTACCAGTTTGAACAACATGGCGAAGAAGTATGGCAAGGAGGTTATGGTTGTGGAGACCAATTGGCCGAGTTACTGCCCAAACCCGTCAAATGCTTTCCCTGCGGATGTGAAGAGTATTCCGATTAGTGTGGATGGACAGACGCAGTGGATGAAAGAAGTTGCGAAGCGTGTGGCTGCTGTGCCTAATGGCAAGGGTACTGGGCTATTTTACTGGGAGCCGGCTTGGATCGCGAACCCTGGGCTGGGCAGCAGCTGTGGGTGGAATCTGATGGTTGGTGACGACGGTAAGGTCATGAGTAGCTTGGCTGTGTTCGCCAGCATATGAGCAATATCGCCGTTCTCCCGAACACTGTGGAGCCTACATCAAGATAAAAACATGCAAAGTAGGTGACCTAAAGTTAATGTAGGCTCTAGACTTATTCAGCTTTTTTCTTGTATAAGGTGCGAAGCTGTAAATGTTGCGTACGTTAGAATTCCAAAGACACCACGTGTGGGACATTGTGACAGCCCCCACATGCACGTTCTATGACATCAGCCCACCTTTGAATCAATATGAATGGGCAATACGTAAAGTCAGAAGATGTACTGGAGACAGCAGTGACGTCGATCAGAACATACTCATGGTCAGAGCCATCTTTGATGTTTGGGTGGTTTCATTTGAGTACATAGCAGTAAAGCAGTGCAGACTCCTTTCCCTCCCGTGTCAAAAAAGCAGCCCAGTCCATTCCGAATGTGCAAAGGAAGATGTGTCAGGGTTCGTCATGGCATCATATCCTTCCGCTAAATGCCTTTTCGTAACCTCATTGCGCCCGCAGCAAAGTATCAACCTACTGCTCCTCAGAGTAGCCCTCACCACCAGCTGGCTGGGCCTCGCCCTCGCCCTGCTCGGCCTGCCTGGCCTGCTCCGCTGCTTGCTGAGCAGCGATGGCCTTGGCACCGTAGTCTTGCGACATGGGCTGGACAACGGGCTGCTCCTCCTTGGGCTCGATGATGGTAACGGAGTCGGGGAGAGTCTTGGATGGGCCGGCCTTGCCTTCGGGGTCGGAGCCGCGCATGATCTTAACCTTGATACCGAGCACACCCTGGCGGAGCAGGACGTGGCGGGTGGCGTGGTCGATGAAGTCCTTGGCAGGCTGACCGGAGTGGATCATGAAACCGTCCTAGATAACGTCAGTATGTCATTGCGAAGCGTCCAACGTGTGTGTACGTACGGTGAACTTCATGCTCTTGGCACGGGCGGCCCTGAGCTTTCCGGAAACGACGACCTCGCAACCCTTGGCGCCAGACTCCATGATGAACCTCAGCACACCGTAGCAAGCCCTTCGGACGGCCAAACCATTGAGAAGCTTGTATCGGAGGGACTCGCACTGGGCGACGGCGGAGAGACCACGGTTCTGGACCTTGGCGGCGTACAGGGAAACGGAGTTCTCGGGGAACTTGAAGCGCTTCTGGATGAGCGAGGTGAGCTCACGGATGCGGCGACCCTGCTCTCCGAGAACCTCCTGGGTGTGTGTGGCGCGGATGATGATGTCGGTGACGGTGGGGGTGACGCGGACCTCGACGCCGGAGTAGCCCTCCTCGGCCAGCTCGCGCTGGAAGAACTCGTTCAGCTCGGCGTAGAAAACACCGTCTGTGAGGGGTCATGTTAGCGACCGTTCTGTGTGCGCAATGTCCCGCGATCCTCGCATTCCACATCCTAGGCTTCGCAGGCTCTTTGCCATGCAGCAACACCAATGATCGCCATCTCCTTCTATTCTCCGTCTACTGCGTGTGGGAAGGGTATATCGTACCAGCTACGAACTTTCTCCTCTTGGAGCTGCAGGCCGTCAGTACTCATTCCCGATTGCGCGTCACAGAGGCGTCCGGATAAACTCACATGGTGGTTTGAGTGGTGGCCATTTTGTCGAACTTTGGAAGGGCGTATCTGAACTCCGGGCGTGGGTGTTCAGAAAGGTCGAG